GAATTAACCACCATCGATCTTCGGACTGCTCACTCTGAAAATATCTTAAAATCATGTTTGTTGCTTGAATGCTATTCCTGATGTATAACTTAGGTTTACACGTTTGAACATAATTATTAAATAGCAGGCTACAGTCAGTTCCACCATAACTTTATTGAAAAGTTATATACAAATCTAAACACCGTGCATGATGTTTTATTGTGGTACTTATAACCCTCACAGGCCCCAAACAGTTGCAGGCTCTCCTCAGATTTCCGGTAAAAGTTGTTATTAAAACTTGATGTCGTGCATATAAATTTCTCAACAAAAAAAACATTTAAAAATGTTGTATTTCACTTCAACAGCGTATACTTAACATAATACGCCAAAAACATGAACTCCTATTATACAGCAGCTTGATCAACAACAATTGTATGATTTTTACATTTTTAGCAAATTTCCCCTATATGGAATAAGCTATTACAGCTATTACTCATGGTAAGACCTGGACCCAGGACCGATTTACTTTTTCGTTTTTAAGCCCCTAGAAACCAAACAAAACAATCCGTTCAAATTCATATATGTGTGTGTCCGTTAGCACAACTCAAACAAAAATCATCCGATTTTTATTAAATTTTGTACAAACATTTAAATCTACGTTTATTCGAACGAGTTCGCGAACCAGTATGATCGGACTATGGGAACAGGGGTTTATGGGGGGTTTTATGGGACAAAAAATGGGTTTTCCAATGTTTTACCCTAAAAACTAAAATTTTAGCATTTTCTTTCCAAACCATTTTGTAGAGCTTAAAAAAACAAATAATTTAGTATATTGGAGCGTTATTATGCGCCTAATAGTTACGGAAAAATTCTAAAAGCTGTAAATTTAAAATTTTTATGTTATTCTTATGGAGAATAAGTAAACTGTTGTAGTTTGCTTGTTTATGGTCATATTTTGATCAAATTTGGAAAATGCATTAATTTCATACTAAACTATTAACATTTTACAAAAAAAAACCTCCCTGTTGCAGCAAACCTAAGTACTCGTTAAACTAATGTTATTTAAATAGGGAATAAATGTAATATTTTTAAGGAGACATTTTAGTGTAAATCCAATCAGGCAAATGTAAATTCGCTTAGTCTGCAGGTGTGCTGTGGCGGGGGTATTTAAATTAGGTAGTAAAAAATACTGAATTACTAATTCATAAACTTAAATATAATATCTTGGTTTATCGCTTTCGTCATAGTTTTCCAAACAAAAGATTTATTTTTGTTACCATGGATATTGAAAATTGCATTTATATAAATTCAATCAATGCACGCAGTATTTTAAACGAAATCTAGTTTAGTAAATATACTTATATTAGGTAACTTATTGGTATAAACAAGTGAATCTGTCATCTCCTAAGAAGATTGTTCAACCCGGAAGACATGGGATCCAAAAAACACCGAAACTTAACCTCTTAAGGCTCAAAAGTATAACAGATTGTCACGTCACGTCATGTGGATATACATGGCTACGTTGTACTATTTAATTTAGTAAGTACACGTCTATGGAGTGTTAATATAAGAGCAATAGCCTACATATAAATATAATGTAATTGTTCAATTAATGTTAATAGGACCAAATCTAAAGCAATATAAATCGCTCGAAATGTATACAGTAATTTGTAGTTTAAAAAACAAACTTAGCACACAACATCTACAGAAGGAAGTAAAACGTTAGGAAGCAATAGGCCTACATTATTTTGAGACTTTGAAGTTGGACGACAAAGATATCAATTTGGTAAATTTGATGCGTAATAATAAAGTAATCTATTTGATTAGTAATATCAATAAGGTCGTAATACTATGTGTTGGGCATCACCCTACACTAGATCCAAACATCTACAGTATCTAGAAAACAAAACAAGGATAGATATATTAGACGATAAGTTATTCCTAGATATTGGATAAGCCCCTCCATTATGATTATGTTGATTAAATTAAATCAAATATTTTTTTACCCAATATTTGTAAACTCAAATCTCTCTGGATTTTGAAATTTGGATTACTTTACCACGTCGTATTGTCATCAGATTTCATGTTAAATATTATCTTTTTTTATTGAAAGAAAATTTCCGTTTAAAAGTTTGCATTATAAAATTAATTTATGTTTGTTCTAAGTTATTGCCAAAGGATATCTCACATAAGAGGTCGACTAATGTGTGTGATTATGTTTACTTTCGAATCTTTCATATTACCTTCAGTTGTAATATATGATTTGTCTCAGATTTAATGCAGGAGTGGGATTGGACTAGAGACTAGAGGAGACAGTATACAAGTACAGTAGATTATGTTATTTTCTCTAAATTATCATTATTAATTTTAAGCCGTTCCTCGACCCGGGCGAGTCGAGTCACAGCTTTGCAGAGAATTGAGATTATTTATCCAGCAACGGATACCAGCACGCTAAACAAAATCATATATCATACTCTCATATGGATGTATTAATTCACTTACATCCCTGCGAGAGGCAAATGCATTATTTACATTTTATGTATTTTAGTAAAAAAAAACTTCGAATGAGTTTAATAAATATAATAGTAAAATGTTAAGTATCTTTTAAAATTTATACAAACTATAGCAGAAATTTGATTAAATTGAATAACCTGTATAAAATAGAGCTCTTGCAATGCAAAATATTGCTTTGTTTACATTGGGCCTGCAATAGTTCAGGGGTTTACCACCAGATGGCATTGGGGTATATCTCTGGTGGCAAGTTAAGGAATTAGCTACCCTTAAAATTTACGATCTAAAGAGTGATGAGGTCAATAAAGGATTCAATAAATTTTACTAGTTTAAAACTGATAGAAACGTAGATATGAAATATTTTTTTTTATTAAAATAATTTTTTATTTCATGTTTGTGTACGTCATGAGTCTTTACATGAATATTCACACCAAAACATCAGCCTCGATCGGAAGTGTTGAAAACTTGACTAATGATGTAAATTTTGAGAGCAACACATTTCTTAACTGAACCTTAGGTACATCTTCAATTCTCCAGTATTACTGCAGATAATAAAAACTAACATAATTATTGTGTTAAATTAATAACCATTCACAAAACTTTCAAAAGTCAAATTTTTCGTCCTTCAATTTACTTTAAATTTACTTTTAAAATTCACACCCATTCATGCGTAGCCTAAAGATACAATGTTGACAGTTATCACAGGCAATATACCATTGGAGTATGCCATAATAGTCTGTGATGTAATATATTTCCAGCATTTATATTAAGTTTACATTAGACCTGCATTTAATCAGTTAAAACTGTAACAATTGTGTTTCGTTTTTTTTGTAGGATGCCATTTTCAAACACCGCCTTCAAGTAAGCATGTTGATAACACTTAAGTAACTTAAGTTAAGTTGCTTTGTTGATGGTTTAATTATTCATTACAATACATATAGAACACGACAAATGCAACAAAATGTTTAATAGTGGTGATACGATTGGCATTTCATGAAAAACTCAACAGGCAAACAACCACAACCAGGTAGTTACGATGGGAACTACCGACAGGTACTTAACCCATAAGCTTATTTCTTAATATTTTAAAGCCCAATTCTTAATTTTTCTTAATATTGCAATTCTATTGACTGATCCTCAATTTCAACAGAAACGCCTAAATGAACCAGAGAAGACATATTTCTTAAGTCATCACAGAGGTGGGTCGACAGGGCCTGTATACAACGGATTGTTGGGAAGGAAATGACAAGTTTGCCAAACTATACGTTTATTGTGTGTATAGCGTCTACAGAAAGCTTCAAGAACTTTGAAAATCATAGAATCTTTAGAGAAAATTCAAGATGAACCTTAATTTTTATTCGAAAAATGAAATATATGCTTTTCAATGTAGTATCGACGTCTAGTTTTAGTCGACCACAAAACAAATAGCATACTCTTGTAAAAAAAACTCACATTATCAAATTAAATTGAATCAAACCGACGATTAATTTCAGCCTGAGAGTGCTGTGCTGCTGCCCAAAAGTTAATTTGTGGCATATTTAACTACATTACTTTTTAACCTAGCCAATCCAGGAAAACATGTTGGAACTACAACTTCTTGTCAATGACATCACCATAGTGTCAAAAACTCAAGAGGCAATAATAAAAAAATATAAACTTACTTTTATACACGTTTATTCGAACGAGACCGCGACCCAGCATAATCGGATTATGGGAACGAAAGTTTATGTGAGTGGGGTTTTATGGGGTGAAATTTATTTTTCCCATTTTTGACCTTAAAAACACAAAATTTCATAATTCTCTCCAAACCATTTTGTAGAGCTTAAAAAGATATAATTTAGTACATTAAAGTGTTGGTGTATGCCCAACGGTTACGGAGGTATAAAAAAAACTGTAAATTTAAAATCCCCATGTTATTCTTACGGAAAATAAATTTAAACTGTTGTATTTGTTTAAGAAGAGAAGAGAAGTAAACTGTCTACTTTTCTGTACCTATATCTAATACATCGGATGTTGGAAAAACATATATCTTGAAGTTTCCTCCAGCAGATCCGTCAAAATAATAAGTTTCTGGTAAATACAACAGGCTATTTAATCTATGACTATGATTTACTATTTAAATGGTGAATCATAAAGAACGTAAAAGCTTCATGAAAAAAACGTGGTACACAATTTTGCAATGGGACTGAAAGCTCCTAGCTTTAGCTTCGTTTTGATTCAATCTGCCCCAAGCAGAGAAGAGTCACCTGAACCTACCATTTCATGAAATCTATCAAATCTTTAGAATCCCGAATCCCACTTTTAATTAATAAAATCAACATGCACCACGATATACCACATCTATGTTATTTACTAACAAAAATCTTATTCCCCTATTGACTTATCACGAAAATAAGATTGTGTTTGCTAATGGACAACCACAGAGAACATTAAGGTCTCATGGGTAAAAATACTCAGACCACCTTATCGGCAAGGAGAAAAATCAACTGTCAAATTTGTCAATCTGTCCTGTCAAAACAACAGACACATGTTCGGTTCTAACCAAACACTTGTTGAAGAACTAGTTAAGATTTAATCGAAAAAGTTTAAAGTTTGTTATATATTTACTACTATTGCTAAAGGTACCTTAATAAAGTCTAATAAGCTTATATGTATACAGCCAGCTATTCATTTACTTATCATATTTCTTTGCACTAAAACACGTTATTCTGTTGTAGGCCTAGCCCACGAATTCTAGTACTCGTGGCCTAGCCTATGTACATTTACCTTAAGTTTAAAATAATGTTCTTTTCAATAATTGATAATTTTAGAAAAGGTCTTAATCTAGGATACGTAAATAGTATTAACCTTAGCCTACTGAACTAATGATGAATAATTGTAAATGAACAAACGACAACTCTAAACTAAACAGGAATATTGATGTTATTTGGTCCAGGATCACTTCTTGAATATTAAAATGGTATAATATTACCTGTTTCCGTCTGTGATCCTATATTTGTTGTATAGAGCAACCGGTTTCAAGGTTATAACCTCATCTTCAGGCTCTTGTTGCCACTCTTGCGAGTCACTTTATAAAACTCGACGATCTCGCAAGAGTGACAACAAGAGCCTGAAGATGAGGTTATAACCTTGAAACCGGTTGCTCTATACAACAAATATAGGATCACAGACGGAAACAGGTAATATTATACCATTTTAATAAACAGGAATGTTTTATATATTTTTCAAACAATGGTCAAAAAAGTAAAAACTTAGCAGGTACAGTTTCTTAATTGGGCTATCGATTGAAACTATCGAATTTAAAATATTGATTAGGCTTATTAATATATATCTAGGCCTAGCCTATTATAAAATGAAACTTTCATAAGCTCTTATCCTAACCGAACAAACCAAACTTGCTGTTAATGAAAAAAATCGTATGAAGGTTTACTCATTGAATTGATAGTTTCAATCGATATTAGCGTAGCCCAGTCAAGAAACTGTTCCATTGTATCTTAGCTAGGCCAATGGCCTAAACTTAATGTGTATTTTTTTAATCAAAGCTAGCCCAGGCCATTGCGAGTCAATATGGGCTGTCAAGACTTAATAACTTAACATACAATTTCTTATAAAACTAGCCTGGGCCTATTAGGAAGCCTTACAACACATTCTAAAAAAAAACTGTGTTAGGATGGTTACCGAGAGAAATTTCCCTGATGTATTTTAATCTCCCTTAAGTTATGTATTTTGATGAAAGACTGATGTAAACTAATGACAGCTGAATTACAATACCATTCCCCGGAAAGGTCACGTTGATCTGAATCTTGATGGTGACGTTGAAGCGTTGGTCCAACTGATCTTCAATTTATTGCTCAATCTAGCCTATGATTATGACAATATAATGTACTATTCAGGCACAATATTTTAACCCTTAATGTTTTTTACAAAGTGTTAACGGCTCTTATTTACTTTGTGGCCATAATTCAGTTTTGAAAGAAATCGTGGGCTACATTTCTTTTCCATAAACACAAAATTTTCCATAAACTAATACCCTAATATGCAAGATAAACATGTTGCCTCGTGTGTTTTAGATCTTCTCAAAATGAGTTTGTCAAAACCTTACAAGTTGGCTTTTACTCTATTTGGAGCTTATTATGAAGGACTCTACTACAACCCTATCAAAACAAAATCCTTAACCAGGTAAGAGATGTGTACTGCAATATTTTTGTCAACCTATAAGTTACTTTAGGTGTCAAATGTAAGATATCAAGTAAACTCTAGGAACTTAATGGAAATACATCTTCAACAATCAATTTTGATTTTAGAACCTTCTCTTCTTAGTAAGCTTATATTATAGGCCTCTTAAAAGTTCACAAATAGCATTAATGTTCAACTTACATAACCTAGAGGCTGCTGTTCATCATATTTGACTAACCTAATGGCTGTAACGCTAGTTCTAAAATCATTGACTAGTCACATTGCATTACAGCTGAGTCGCTGAGTCTTTTTAACTTTTTTAAATGTTTTTAAATAAGAGATGAGGGAGACCCGTGTGTAAATTTCATAGCTTAATAGGGTCCAAAACTTGTTTTTGAGCAAAAATGAATCTAGTGAACTACCCATTTAAGTTTTCAAGAGAATGTATTTTAACAATAAATTGTAATAACAAAAACATAACCTCTCTTAGAGGTTGTGACTAGTAATTTTTAGTCCTTTGGTTGGTGGTACCTAATATATAAGGTTTAGTAGTATGGCGTAAACTATCGTACGTCACTCGTCCAAAATGTGTTTACCGAACTCTTACAGTAATCCCGTACTTGACGTCGTCTTGCACGGGAACGACCACACTCGTCCAGTAAACTCTTATTTTCAGGACTAGTAACGTAATATACTATTACAGCTAGGTTCAAATTGAAGGTCTATGATTTTTTTCTTTGTTTCAGCTCCACCATAGCAATGCTGGCCAATTTGACAGCTCAGTACATGGGTGGGGCAAAACGGTTAGACCAGGATAGCTTGATAGCGTTTGGACTATTTGGGTAAGACATTTCTTCCTAATTTTACACCTCTGTTTGTGATTGAAATAAAAAATGTTTCGTAATTAATTGTATTACAACTGCGTGTAAGAATACAATAAAATATCAATCCAAAGAGAAACTAACAATTTTCAAAAGTCCAATTCATCAGACCTCACAATCAACATAACATAACAAAATCTTGACTGTCACATGTTCACAAACATGTGCTAGTGCTAGGAGAAAAATATACAAATAGTAAGCTAGGGCTTGTTTTCGTGGGATTTTTAGATAATGTATGTGCTCGTGTATGTGAGTTTAATCAATAATATTTCCAGGCGTCCTTTTTGATTTTTAATGGTGAATTTTCCATAAAAACCCATAATATAATGGTAAAATAGAATTCTCCAAAATCGGCCTGACAGTTTTTTATTTAAATGTAGTATTAAAGTCTTTTTAACTCTAAACTAACGGTACAACCCCCCATCACTGTAAAAATTACTGTCAAAAGTTTTATGTGATTTTCTTCCTAAAAATACAGAACAATTAGATTTTTGAAAACCTGTCTCGATTGATTTTAATTCAAATGTTGTATGCTACGATCATTATAATCAGAATCAGAATCAGAATACTTTATTCTTGAACATAGAGTATAGAATAGGCGTCAAACATTACAGGGATTGCGAGGGTTGTTTAATCCTCACTGGAACATCGGTGAAGTTCTCCAGTTCATGAACTCCTCAACTGTGCAGAACACATTTCGTAATTCGTAACGAACACATAATTCGTAACAAAATGGTACAAACCCCATCGCTGTAAAATGTACGGTTTCAATCATATTGCAACTTAAATTATTTTCCTTATAAATTATAATAGTTACCTCCACCGGTTAACCATGATAAAGTTTTTTAATTAGCTAATGAGAGAGAGTATGTGTCAGATTGCTAAAACCGTTTATTTACAATAGCAAACCAAACTACCCAATACTTATAGTTTATATAGTAATTAATTGTCCATATACACATTGCAGGTTACTGTTCGGAGGCAGCATTCCTCATTTCTTCTACCAGATGTTGGACCAGGTGGCCCCAGACTCATCCTCTCAATATGTCATCAAACAGCTGCTGTTGGAAAGACTGATCTTCACTCCACTCTACCAGATGTTTGTGATTTACATGCTAGCCAGATTTGAGGTACAGTAAGAAACTATGATTTAACACTTAAAAGCCTAATCCCAATATAGATCGGGCTATTAGTTTGTTTAATCTCACCTGCAAACGCTAGTGTGCTTATAGAGGCACTTGTCACGTTCGGACAGTGGCATGGTAGCTCATTTCCCTAAGGTGTTGCACTGAGTAGCAATGAGGTCTTTCCACGTGCTTGGGTTTGAATCCCTCACACATGTAATCCATATTAAGATAAATAATGTGCGACTTTAGCTAGTATAGAGGGCTCACACCTAAAATAAACGGTGTGTGGCTTGGGTAGAAGTTTGGGACATTAAAATTGCACACAACACCTGTTTCACTTCTTCTTACATTAGTAGGCTATAGAGGAAGAGGACACAGATTTTTGTCTTTTTTATCTTAAATATAGACATATAAGTCGATCAAATTGATATACGATAATAAACACAACAGGACATAACCTAAAAAAATTATCAACTGAGAATTTGTAAAATAGGCTTAGGGCTTAGTGCTAAGCCATATTTACATGGGACCAGTAGAAGGCAGGTTGCCTCAGTTAACTTTAAATAGGCTACACAAACTGAGGCAGGTAACCTATTTTAGTGGTACCGGTATATTAATTGCTCAAACACTGTATGATTCCACAGTCCAAGACACACCAGCAGGCCATGAGTCAGTTAGTGCAGCTGTACTGGCCGCTGTTACGGGCCAACTGGACGTGGATCACAATTCCTCAGCTGCTCAACCTAACCTACGTTCCTCCCATTGTAAGTATACAAGAGTCTCTGAATTGTTATTTCCACTGAGTGATAGTTTATCAATGTTCCGAGTCAACCAGCCAAATATAAAATACATAGAGAGTTTGCTTTTTGCCATCACAGACATCGGTTTTGGTGACTAAAAGTTGACAACAAAAAGTTTACAACCAAACAAATTTTAGATTTACTCTAAACAAATTTGAGCAACTAGTGGAAGTTTTTTGGTAGGGCATGGCGAGCCGGTGTGGTGCTACCGCCCAACGTCACATCCGGGATGCGTGAAGGGGAAACACTTCTCCACTATTCTTCTACAAGCTGCTTGCGCAAAGCGCGTAGTCATCCACTTTTTTATCAACTTTCTCTGATCTTTACTGATACTCTGCAGGAAACCAAAATTAAGAAGGAGACTTTGGTTTAAACGCGGCTTAAGACGCAGGATTTGTCATGATGGAAGCTGATATTCCGTGGTCTGAACTACAATCTTTATAGAAACATTTACTGAAAATATTAACCTAAATGAGAACCACTTGTACTACTTAGCTCCAGGTTATTTTTTTCTTTGTAACATCAATTAAGTATTTTGAGTCCCGTAAAATAACAATAACTAGGTGGTTTCAAACATATTTTTTAATTCACAGCTTTAAAGCTCTAAGGCTTGCTGAAATATCAAGAATATTAAACATTAAAATCCATTTGATCAGACATAAACAAAACAATCTTAGCTGATGCTAAGGGACAATAAAATGAGAGTACTTTTGTTTAATCTACACTATGGCTTAAATTTACTTGTTCTTTGTGATGCTCATGTATAAAGGAGATCGTAAACGACACAGAGAAGTAAGATACGAGGATGTTAACATTCAATGGTGCACTTCAGTAGTGTCTAGCACTAGTCGCTGGTGTCTAGAGCAAATTCTATTTGTCATCCTCCCGCTCTATCCTTTCCCCCTTCACGCTCACGCTGTAGGAAGACCCTGTACGCTACACCTGCTGTAAGAAAATGCTATATGGCCATCACAGAGCTAAAAGCACATGGTTGTTCTATAATCTTGTATCCCCTGTATCCTTTTTCTCTGTGTTAACGATCAACTGTTTCTTTTTAATAATCTTTGCTTAACGTTAACCATTTAATATAGATAGAATTTAACTTATATCGATCAATGTTCCAGCTCAGGGTACTCTTCAGCAATCTCATCGGCTACGTTTGGACTGTTTTTCTCGCCCATAAGAAGAGGAAAGCAGATTCAAGACGCAACAGATTAGACTAGTTTTTTTTACCAATACTCTCAGTATTTAGGATTAGGGGACATATTTTAAGGATATTTTTTATATGGGCTTGTTGTACATTTACTATGATGTGTAAATATCATTGTCTTTATCAGTATATTTATATTGTTATTAAAATATTGTTGATAATAAAATGTTGATGATAAAAGATTAAGTTAATATTTTCTTGCCCTTTAGATTTTAAGGAAAAAGTTTTAATGCATTGCTGAGTGCTGCTGCTTTAGTTCTTAAAGCTATGAAATTATTATAAACATAATGTTCTGCTAAGGAAGCATTGCATCCATGTTTTTTTTCTGAGTGCCACTAGCAGTGTGATAAATTGTAAGATTCACACCTGTACTATGAAATATCATTTACGAGTTTGTGCAAAATGTTACGGAGTATGCTTTATGTTCATAGTATAAACATAAACCTATTCCGTAACCTCTGCCTCTAGTAAACAGTTTTTTTATATTCAGTTTCAAGCAATTTTATGTAGTCAAAGTTGCAAGCAAAGTATTGTTTTTGGATTCTTTTACTAAGTTTTGTGCTAAAACTCTTTTTCTATGAAGAAGGGCAGATTGAATAGGACAGCAGATGGTAGGTATTATTTTTCCATTAAGAAAGAGTCCTTGGACCCATTCTATTAAGCATAAGACATAAGACATTTATTCGTCAATTTTACATGTATAATGCATAGACAAGTCTATTACTGTTAAGTAAATACATCTTGTATTCAGTCTTAGGTAAATAAATATATAAAGGAATTAAGTTAATACAGGCAATAAAAATACAAGAGTTACAATTTGAGTCATTCTACTTCAAAACAAAGTTTCTACAAAACTACAAAGATGATTTCTAATCTCATATATAATGCCCTAGATGAAATACAATCACTTTGCTATGCATTCAAAATAATATATATATATATTTCATAACAAAAGTAGAAAGTGAGTGAGTCATCAGTAAATATGTGAGACTATGTTTGAAGTGCATTGACTAAAAAGAATAAAATTAGTAATTGAGTACACAATGCATGATAGAATGAACGTTGGTGTCCACGTCCATATTGTATCTGACAGTATTCCAAGCTGACTGAGAGAGAACTGCAACTGAGATCACTATCACTGTAATCATTTATTAATATAGAGTATACTTTTTTTGTCCCATGACGCTAGGCACGAGCCCTTTGTAATAGACCGACGATGCCGGTTCGCGAACTAGTTCGAATAAATACAGGTTTACACACATTTATTTAAAATTTGACAATTTTTTCGAGTTATTAATGGTCCTCATGTTACGTAACACATTTTCGTCATTTTTAACATCTACCTCCCCCCGGTGAGGCTTCATAACGTAAGCATATTCCCCCCTTACCCCCTCCATATAACGTAAGCCTATCAGATATTTTCTTAAACAATGTTTTGTTATTCTATATGCAACTTTCTCCGGCTGAAGTCAATTAATTGTTTAACATTGTGCTTTAAACTAGAGTAACCTGTAAAAAATATCTTACTGTTTATTTGAACACAATATTTTTTACAAATTATACAATTCAATGTTTACTAAAAATGATTTCCATAAAAATCCCTTTAAATAGCATATTTAACGAGTGCTTATAGGTTTTATGCTAAGGGGAAGGTAACAAAGTAATTTTTGACTTAACGTTAATAAATTTGCCGTGAAGTGTGGACGGCCCCTTATCGCACATACTTTATGTACGTTTTTTATTTTGCCATTAAATTCAGTTGAATGGATGGTGCCTTCACTATAAGTTGTACTAAATACAACATTTTATTTTGCTTTATAATAATTAATAAATTCAACTAAATACTAAAAAGAGCCCCAATATTCAAATCAAAGCTTTTACAAAGTAACAAATCCACGTACTAAAATTATATATATTATGCTTAATAATTTCATTTTGTTACACATTCATATTTAGTGTAAAGATAGACTGGCTTTCATTTCTCCACTGCATTTTGTAACTTCTTACTCATTCCTGTTACGACTGCTGTTGCTGTAGCTGTAGTTCATTTCATCGAAAAAAGCCTCTTCCTAGTTCCTCCTCTAGGATTTGTCTACCGTAAGGAGGTGAGTGTCAACATTTCTTTATCTCTTGGAATCCGATTTTAAATTCAATTTTTATTAAATATTTTATTGTCTAACAATTGTAGAGACCATTAAATTAATTATTGCTTCTTTTATTTTCAGGCAAAATGGGGAGACGCCCTGCTAGATGGTAAGAATCCTAACCTCTCTAGTCATAGTGCTTGTTTATTAGAAAGACATTAGGCTACAGACTAGTTCTAGGCGAAACTATTTTATGCACTTTAATTACTTTTAGCTGTTTCGTTTAGACCTAAATTGCTGATGTTTTTGCTCATAGTTGGCAAATCCATAACAGGGCTACAGATTTAAATAATGCCAACTAAGTTAGGCCTTGGAGTTTATTCTCGATTAAATTTCTTAACATTGTTAAATTAATTTTCCTACTTAGGCCTAGACTAAATTGATCCATTCCATGTTAGTTTACACGTTGAGGAATAGATTCTAGGTATGAGAATAATGTAATAAATGTTGTGACTAGGCCGCTTAGCTCTGTTTGACTGTATAATAATCTAGGCCTAGCCCATTGCACAATAAGTATTTTGAGGATGATCTTGGTCAAAAAATACTAGGCACAGTTGATTTTTCTTAACCAAAAGCTTGATTATAAATGAATTAATTTTAACCAATGAAAGTCAAGGCATTGGAAGTTTTTAGCTGATTCACTTTGTAACCAGCCCGTTTTAAGGTCTTAATGTTGGTCCATTTATTGCTCAATCGCATCCTTCTAGCAGTGTTCTCAGCAGTCATTTGCCTTGTGATGGCTGCCTAAGTTGGGTCGTAGTGTGTTTCTTTTAGAGATGTGTCGTTCGGTCATGACCCGTTCGATTTGAACGGATCAGTCAGGTGAACGAGTGATCCGGGTCACACTTATTCAAAAGACCCGTTTGATTCTGATTTCGTTCACCCCAACCAACTGACTGTTTTAATTTTATAACGAAACTCTATTATAAGAAAAGTCGTGTATCTTAATATATTTACTCATAAAAAAAAATAAAAACATTATTTATTGAGTTTAAAATATCAATATGGACTTAATTTAACCTAGAAAATAATACAGGATAGAAAATATGTTCTGTGTTGACTACGTAGTTTACTTTGGTTTCGTTCGGTCTCGGGTCTCGGTCTTTCCGTTCATTTCGTTCGCCAAGATCCGATGACCGAAGAAGTCCGATTGCGTTCGGAATGGCAACTTAAGACACGGAACGGACCGAACTAACTAATGTGAATTAATGGAACAAGAAGTGGACGATTGGCACTTTCAAGCCTAGGCTCGAACCAATAATATAGTAGCCTAATATGTGGCCTGAAGTAGGCATTTACAATCAAAAACTAAACATCGCTATAAGGATGAATTATTATTTATTACTCTATTCGTTTACTGATGTCAAGGTCCTAGTCCGGTTTCGTGTTTCGTTCATTTCGTTCACCGATGTCCGATTCCGATACAAACTCTGGCGGGACGTTATGTCATGAAAGCTGGCTGACTGACAGTCGACAGACCGGTTCAATTGAACGGGTCGCGACGGTGAACGAGACCGGTTGACCCGGATCAGTAAAGTGATCCGAACGTCCCATCTCTAGTTTCTTTATGTCCCTGCTAGTTGGTTTCTTGGAACGCATGTAAAACTTTCGTGTCAATACCCTTTGTGTAGGCTATAGCAAAATGGCTGGCAGTAAGTCAAATTTATGTTTTGATACCCTCAGCGTCACACTGTATGATGATACCTTACTGTATGCAATTCTTCTGTACGTCAAATTCACGTATTGATACCCTACCCTTAGCGTCATGCTGTATGTCGATACCTTTCAAGGGTTAAGCGCCAACTGCCGATATATTGGCAATCTCATTAGGCTATATTCTAAAAACGCCAACTGCTGATTTATCGGCAATTAGATTTTATTCATTTAGAGCTCAAATGAGACAACTGACAATAGCCTACTAAAAATCATACCATATTAAAGCTAAAGAGTCTCCCTACTAGAATAACTTATACTTTATATAGGCCTAACTTATGTAGGATGCTTCTACAAACATATTTAACTGTCTAGGCCTAATACTTGACTGGGAAAAAGAGCAATTCAAATGGCTTTGACACCGCCTGGCACAGCCTAACGCAGCGTGTATTCTGTGTTTACGCTTGAAATAGTTATTGAACGTTGTTGTTTAGGTACATTATCAATAACTTAACTTAATACATGTTTTGATTATTTAGTGCATATTTTTAATATTTAGTGGATGTTTTTAGTTATTAGTGAGACTCACTGAGTAAATAACCAGCCTATCGTATGGCTTTGTCATGGGTTCGGATCCTGACCACTCCCGATTAACATTTTATCAGTACAGATCATTTTAGAAGAGGCCGCCAATCTCTTAAAAAAAAGTTAATTGCGTTGGTTATCAAATACGTATTTTCATATATTTTGGCACAGTAAATTTATTTATTTAAGTAATAGCCTATATAGGCTACTCTTCAAAATTGGAATATTTACTCTCATTAGAAGACTGAACAAGCTTATAGTGTATGAACTAAACAACTTGATTTGTATGGTACCGGTAGTTATAAGTTATAGGCCCCTACCCAAAAAAACAATTTTTTTATACCTATAGGCCTACAATGTGTGTATATTTAAATACAGTTTATCACATGTAAAATAAAGGAAACCGGATCCTTTTATGTTAACTTAAGTAATTCAAATTTTATAGCACTTTTAGCCAAAACATGCAAAAACACTGATTCTGCCCTGGCCATTTGGTGCATCACATATATGCATATTAGTGCTGGCCCATAGAGGAGGAAGTGGTTAAAAAAGCATCTTTAGATGGCGCTCAAAGGGTTCAATACAATAACTGTAGGCTTAGGGCCTATATGACTTAACTTCAACTAAGTCATACAAAAACTTAACTTCGATTAACTAAAACTTCAATTAAAGCATTGGACCTATATCAAACTTGTCAACAATTTTTGTGGGGTTAAAATTTCTCACAAAATAATAAATTATAAAAAAAAGAGAAAAAAGTTAGATTTGCGTGTAGGTC